TGCCATTTTGCTGCTCGCGGAGATTTATAACCCAACTGTATTAAGGTAGACTAGAAAAAACATGCATCAGTAATCATAACTAGGGATCTATGGCTTGTCTGCCATCTTGAATTGGTAACGATTCTTTTTTGACGAACCTTATAGTCTTGGTAACACTTCCAAAATCTTTCCGACTGCGTTTGACATAACGAAGCCTTATCCCACCAGGATCCGGAACTCAAACATTTCTTCAACTCTAGATGTAAATTCGAGCAATTACTCAACGCTATTTCTTGCACAGTCATCATATCATCGTCGTCTTCCGGTGACACACTCAATGGCGTACTTGGTCTTCTCAACGATGATGGCGGTTGTGATGCCGATTGATCAGATGGTGGTAATGTCGATTTGGAAGTTGATTTATTATCTTTGGAATCATCTTGAATCGGTATGGAAGATGTACTGGATGTTGAGGATTGTGAAGGAGAATTCGGTGTGCTCGGTTCGTATGTCTTTGATGATGTCGGGAGATTACCGAGAACAGACGAAGTCGATTGTTTGGCTTTAGATATGAACGAATCTAAGAATGAATCATTCTTTTCTGGATCAGTGTTAGACGATGTCATTTTATTTCTTTATCTCCCTTCAGAATGAACGATTAATGACGAGATGGTTTTTTTTTGTGATTGAAAGTTCAAATTTTTGGCGCATTCAAAATTTACGAAAATGGCGGGGAACTTTGCAGCTGTTCCTTCCACTCTAAAATCTAAATTTATTAAGGACAATAACATAAACGGCGGCTGCTGCCATTCACTATGATTACCTCATATATTTTTATGACTGGGATTTGGAACTTCGTAATATATTCTAATCTCAGGAGCAGACATGCAGAGATGGACGACGATAGGAGAAGTGTTAAGGATGTCTCAATAAAAGTATATCCTGCCATGAGAAATTTCCTAGTCTTCACTACGGCTATTCCACGCTGCCACATGATAACTATTTATCATGTATTTGATATAAAACTGCCCACTACATGATTCTTTTGAAAGGAGTCGATTGACGGATGTCGGTTCGTTCCTTCTTGGATTTCGCGTGCATTTAGAAATTTCAGTCGAGGGACATAACAGGAAAGAGTCTCATCTATAACTTATATCCACACATTCAGACGGAAGATAGATCCCATACAGATAGAACTACAAAACTGTAGATGTCGCTATTATGACTGACTTTTCGGCTACCTTTGTGGTAAGATAACGGCCTTCCATCTCCTCATCTTGTTGGATTTGTTTACATTTTGGGCAACCCTCAATGTCAGACTATGACTCATCCTTTTTAATTTATTATATTATGTCGTATAGAATACGGAGACACCCGTTCAGTCTTTAGAGACTGTTGTCAAACGTTTGACGAATGGAAAGACTATATTGGACGAGGTTGCCGAATTTTTTAAGGAATTGTGTGTTCCACTTTTCAAACTCTCCCTTACGATATTAATATTGCAGATGTTGACAAATGCTCTGCTATAACTCGCTCGGTTGAACCATTTTTACACTATGTAGGGCTGTAATTGAAGATAAATATTCAAAGGATATTCTCAAATTCGTCCAAACGAATAAAATATCGAGTCCAGATACCCTAGGGTACGCTATCTTTCGGCCTTACATTTGTTTCATAGTGAGGGATGATGTTCTGACGATGATTACAATCTTTTTACTAGTCTTTTGTTTGATAGCTGGAAATCCGTTTTAAGTTTTATAGTCTTGTCGGCGGAAGGGAGGGCGAAATGGGCAAATTCGATGTCCGCGGAAGTGGAAAAGCCACTGCGAGATGCTTTGGGAGATGAAGAGTGGAAGGAAATGAAAAAGGTATGCCTGATTAAGTGTTTTTCTTTCATCATATTTTGGATTAATGTCTCCTTCGCTCAGCTCGAGAAGAAGTGCTCCAAGGCCGCAAAGGCATACGAAGAGGCGATCAAGATGAATAATAAGGTAATGCTGCTTTCTTGCATCACGCTTGTATTTGCCTCAGAAGTAAGCCTTATTAATGCTATTATAGGTCAACACTCCAACTGGGAGCAATGTAGAGAATAATGCGGAAGGAGAGCAACCAGCTGAAGTGAGTACTCGTCATTTCAGTTTTCTGGCTGACATAACTGACGGTTTAAATGCGATGTCAGACCAACGGAGTAACGCATAGACGTAAACCCACTAACGAGAGTAAGTATACTTCTAATGAATGTGCTTTATAGCTTGGGCGTTATGCTTACATACATTGCATTCGTCTGATAGGTAAGAAGAAAATGCACGCTCTTGATAATTTCAAAAGCAAAAAAGCATTATGGGAAGCAGAAGCGACTGCAAGTTTCGATGTAAGGCAGTTCATACTATCAAATGACAGTGTTCACATAGCATTGACATTACACCCCATTCTGTTTGCGTTCAGCGTTTTCAAAGTCTGGAGAAATCACGCCTGGAAACCCTCAAAACAACTCTGACATCTTTCGGAGCAACTACGCATTTATTATTGAATTCCGAAACTGAACTGGCATCCCAGATAATTGGCTCGACGTCGGAATTCGATGTCGAGGCAGAAATCAAACGATTCTGCGATACGAAAGGAGTGGTAGAAGCTCCGGCTGTTGTGGAAGCAGCGGATAATAAAAGTTTAAAAGCACCGAAAGGTAATAGACACACATTTTTCTTTTATAATCAAAATTACTGAATTAACCAACGTCTTAACTGCTCTCAACTGCAGTTCGACGGTCGATGTCGCTTAATAAACGTGCTTCCTCGCTTTTTTCCATGAAACGCAACAAGTCGTTGACCAACATTGCCTCGATATCTAAATTGTATGTGGTCTATCATTTCTTTCTCTCTTCTGTCATCTACTTATCCTTAGATACTTTAATATGTCAGGCCCGAATCTTCAGAGACACCCAACGGGCCTGTCGACCAGAACGCCGCACCTCTGAAATCCGACGGTCAGGTATGTGTTATCTGTTCTTGACCTCTTTTCACTAGTCGGGATGGCTGAAAATCCATGTTCTAGGATCAACCGGCTCCCGCTGTAACGGATGAAGAAGGCTTCTCCGTGCGGCCGGCAGACGCCGACAAAATCACGGGCATGGAAGCAAATCCAGAAAAATTTGATTCTGATGAGGAAGATGATGGAAACGGGTCACGGTATGTCGTCTTAACCCTTCATCTCACATTGAACGTTGTAATAAATGTCTTATCTATTTTTTTCTAGATCTTCATCTCCTCCGCGGTTTAAAGTGGAGATTAAAAAGGAAGCTGTAGTGGAAACAAATGCTGAAACATTACAGAGAGCCATGACGGCAATATCGAGTTCAATTGGTCCAGTGAGTATCCCTAGATATTCTTGCACTCCTATTACATAAAGACAGCTCACGTTAGCAATTATAGCCCCCGCGCGGTCGCTCGCAAAATAGACGAACGAATAAGGCATTGACCTACATTGATCCATCAACAACTTCATCAAACACACCTATCAGCGCAAATGGTTTCGGGAATCCAAATTTCAGATCGAGTTTAGCGAATCAACTAATATTGGAATCACCAACGGTACCTACCTCGGACCCCTCTTCAGCTAAATCTGACCCTTCGACAACTTTCTCAAAATCGGATGATTTATTTTTGTCACAAATGGAGAGTGCCCCGACCTCAAAGTCCGCCGATACATCACCCACACGCAAACCAAACGATATTGTTGATTTATTTGATACGCTACCATCAGGTAGTGCTGCGGCACCGGCTCGATCTGCCTCACAGCCGCCTCCAAAGCTTCCCGCACGACCGCGGGCATCGTCAGCATCTGGATCTTTACCGTCTCCGTCCACTTTAGCTCCCTCTTTTTCCCTCCCTCCTGCGCCAACTGTATTGACTTTACCCCCCGTCCGAATCATCGTGGCCGAGACTGTGAATGTGATGTTGAAATCCGCGACCGAAGTTGACAGGTGTCTAGTTACTGGGGAGATATCAATATCATTTCAGACCCCGCTTAATCCATCTCTAACTTCTCAGCGACTCAAACTCGCACTAAAAAGTCTCCTAAACGTCGAAAAAATTATACCAAATACTAATTACGTCTCTCAGAATACCGCCTTTTCTTCGACAACCACGTCGTCTAAGGACTACTTGTTAGACCTTGCATCTTTGGCCTCTTCTTCATCATCTCAATCCTCCATACCCCTTTTCAAATATTCCATCCCGAATGTTGATCCTACTGTCAACCTATCGAACTTACCTATCCTTTCGCACTTACTTTCCAAATCCACTAGTAATTCTACCCAAACAATGATCATGTACAAGTACAATCCGTCGTTTAATTTAAAGCCGAAACCCGTAAACGATGTTTCGTTTTTATTGGCGTACGATAGAGCAGTGAATGATATGAAATCGAACCACGATGGAGCGTTGTCACCCGACGGTACAAAAATTTTATGGAAATTCGATCAAATCGCTAGCGACGGTGATGAAAATGACGAGTTTCAGAGAATTTTAGTCAAAGTGAGCCACGACGAGACTCAAGGTGTTGTTGGAAGTGGAACGGTGACTGGATTACTACTCCGATGGGAATGTGCCGGGATTGTGAGTGGTATGGATGTGAGTGTGAACGGTGATGAATCTACTGGAGTTAAAATTGAGAAAGTGGAGTATCAGAAGTTGACGACGGCTGGCAAATATTTGGTTGGTATCGGAGAGAATTAAAAATCGGAAAGTTTCATGCTATACCATGTTTCTGTTGGCATTCGTTTTCACGGATACACATAAATCCTTGCAGTTTAAAATATATTTATCTTGGGTGTGTAATGTTTTAAGAGAGAATCTATGCTTTAAGCAATAATAAATCTACCCAGAATCTGGCGAACCCGTTACAATAACTCTCGATATCTTCTTCACAGACTTACTTTTGTCAGCTCTCATACAACAATTCGTCGATTCCCAAAGTTTACATCAAAAATTGTGGGCATCATGAAGTGGATAGCAATAAATAAACGCAGACCAGGAGGAATCGAACCTCTGCGAACCTAATCGCCAATGGATTTGAAGTCCATTATCGACACCAGTCAATTTCAGTTCTGCAGAGGAAGCGTCGTCAGTTCTTGGATTATAAAGCGGCAACTAAAAGAGACGCGTAAAGTTGCGGTTAAGATTTGGAGCTTGGCATTCAATGTTTCGAGACGCAATGCATAAGTCTAGGTTACAGATTACTTTGATGGTTTCAATAGATATTATTCGTGAATTATAGGAGAATCAATTCCTTCGCTAAATCACCGGCCAATTCCTGCACCGATGGCAGCCACTTACCTCCCCAGCACCCCACGGTCCCACCCGAACGTGCCGCTTAGGGACTGTTCGACACTTTAAGCCCGATAAGAAATGTCGCAACGACTCCAATGAAACTGATTCATGTTCATGATACAACAAACAACTCTATAACATCATTTGACAATATGGGTCGTCTAACTGTCGTCTATTTTCAGTTTCAGAAAGCCACGTGGAAGGCAGTTTTATCACATCAGATCGGACGCAAATAGCCACGAGGCAGTCACGAGGGAGCTCGCATGGCTCAGGACCCTGGAGGGAGTACCTGTCTGGTTAAAACCCGAGTCCCTCTCTCCGCTCCTTTTTTTTTGTCCTTCATCGTGTTTACTTTTCTACTCGAATTTCTACGGTCGACTATAAACTTTTTTTCTCGAGACAATAATTCTATAATATATCAATACTGTTGAAGATGAGTCCTGCTGTTAAAATTGTTCAATCTGCCGGTGAGACTGGAATTAAACAGTTACCAGTCACTTTACTGTCCGGGTTCCTTGGTATGTCAAGTTGTCTACATTGTTTCCTTTCTTTCCTTCAATCTCTTGATTGGTCTCTTGTTTGTTTCTGCTGAGTGTATCCATGAATGATGATTATTCTAATGTTTGTTGTTGTGACTCTGTTTTTCATGAATCTTGTGTTAACCTTCGTTCTCCTGGGACGTTCTGCTCAGGTTCTGGTAAAACGACTCTGCTTTCTCATATTCTTACGAACAAAGACAACTTAAAATGCGCAGTCATTGTGGTAAGTACCTTGATATTGTTGGTTTTTTCAGTTTTCCCTTCGGTATTGTTTCCTTGAATTTCCAACTTTCACCATTCCGGGCAGAGTCTCTGGCTGGAGGTTCCCTGGTGTTGAATGAGAAATCGGAGATAAAATGTCCATATTCGGAATTACTGATGATCAAATTGTTTCATATTTAGAATGACATGGCAGAATTAAACATTGATGCCGCTCTAATCAAGAATAATGCCTTGATTCAAAAAGAAGAAAAATTGGTCGAAATGCAAAATGGGTGTATCTGCTGTACCTTGCGTGAAGGTAAAGTCATGATCTCAATTGTATCTGCTAATTTAATTTGATTGATTGCGCTAACTGTATTTGGCGATATGCATTTTTATATGGTTTTGTCTCGTATCACGTATGGTAAATAGATTTATTGGAACAAATTGCTGAGTTTGCGAAATCTGGAGACTTCGATTACCTGATCATTGAGTCCACTGGAATTAGTGAACCAATGCAAGTTGCTGAAACTGTAAGTTGAAAATTTTATTCGACTGCTTCAAAATATAAGCTGTACATCTCTCAGTGTGCGATAAATCCGCGGGTTTATTTACGCGCTGCATAAAACGTAGCAGAACCCAAAACTGACGCGACGTTTTTAGTTTACATTCCCGCTTGAATCTGGTGAAAAAGAAGTCATCGTCAATGGAGTAAAGATTGAATCATTGAGTGAAATTGCTCGATTAGATACTTGCGTTACTGTGGTGGATGCTTATAATTTCTTTAACACGTTCAAGACAACAGGTTTGTTGGATTTTGCTTAGGCTGGATTGCCAAGTCAATGAACTATGCAATGATTTAAAGATTCTAACAGGTTCACATTCTTTTTATCATCCCAGAGTTTCTCCAAGATCGGTACAAATCCGTGGATGAAACCGACGAACGTACCATCTCTGATCTTATGATTGATCAACTCGAATTCGCCAACGTAATTCTCCTCAATAAAACCGATCTAGTTCCTTCCGGTACCATCGCGGAAATCAAAGTAGTGATCCAGACATTAAATCCTTCCGCTAAAATCATTGAAACTTCGTACTCTAAAGTCGATTTAAAGAAGATCTTGAACACTGGTTTATTCAAGTTAGAAGAAGCAGCTACATCTGTCGGTTGGTTAAAAAGTTTAAGTGAAGAAAATGAAGGCAAAAGTGAAAGTGCCGAATACGGTGTCACTAGTTTTGTGTATCGCGCCAGAAACCCTTTTCATCCCGGACGATTAGGGGAGCTACTTTTTGATAAGTTCTTGTTGGTCGAGAACTTGGCCGATACTGAAAGCGTCCAAGACGAGGATGAAGAAATGGAAGATGCAAGCGAAACCGAAGATGGAAATGAAAGTGATCAAAACGAGGAAGAGGATGTTGAAATGGGTGAAACTAAAAAAGGAAAAGTATCAACAGATGAGCAATCTCCTCCTGATAACTTTGAAGAACACAAATCCGCTAGTGTTTTCAAGAATTTACTTCGTTCAAAAGGTTTCTTTTGGCTCGCCTCTCGAAATGATATTTACGGTGAATGGTCTCAAGCTGGACTCATTATGCAAATGGTCCCCGGCGATCTTTGGTACGCTGAGCAACCAAAATCCCTGTGGCCAGAAGATAAAGCCGTCGTGGCTTCCATTGAAAATGATTTTGAAGGGGAAAATGGAGATCGTAGACAAGAAATTGTGTTTATTGGAAGTAACTTGGATCATGAGGGAATTAAAGAGGCATTGAATAGTTGTTTATTGACGGCAGAGGAAATGGAAAGATTCAAAGCCGGTGATATCGAAGAATTTGTTGATGAAGATAACTTTGAAGCTTGGCCTACCAAAGAGGAGTTGTTGGAAATGAAGACTGCCGATGATGAGCACGAGCACTAAATTGGGATTTCCTCTTTCCCTCTTTAAATACTTTCATAATTGTAGTTTTAATTTAGTAAATCAATTGTAAGCAATAAATAAACGACAGTTCTATTTGTAACTTTCTGTACAAGCACAATATTTTTAAGCTGTGCGGACATAATCTGCTCCAAAGGCGACACTCAAAAATTCGTTCAAGACGAAAAATGTCAATCCCCATATTTCTGGTCTCTCTAGCTTATTTTCTCCATTTTTCAACTGATTTTCGTTCCATATCTCGCCAAACAAACTAACATCGTTGTCCAATTTGTACCTTCCAAACCTTCTCACTTGTTTTTCTGCGCCTTTGAACTGCGATTCCCTTTCTACCTCTTTCCTGTTGAAATCTCGTTTTGTTGGATCAAGAAGATACGAAAATGGTAGTGCAAAGACGCCGCTTACTTCGTCTGGATTGAACTCCAGTTTTGAGACGTCCACACTACCTATGTAAGTCACGATCGGATGTACACGAATGGTGAAAGTCTTGTCAGGGATTGGTGTGAGCAGACCTAAATTTTGGAACCGCTGGACGTTAGTGGCTGAAGAGGATGGCGATAGCGACGAAGAGTCGAAAGGGTTTTGGAGGGTGGTTAGAAGGGACGGAAGTTCCTCAAAGAGTTCACGGATAGCCGTATGTTCTATTGATGTGTCTGTCGAATCTTGAAGACCGCCTGGAAAACTTTGAATACAAAACCCCCAAGATTAATAAATTGACAGAAAAAAAGGTTGTATCATTCCGAGGTTGTGGTACTTACCTGACTTCACCTCTATGGTTCCTAAGTTTCTGGCTCCTTATGGTAAACAAAACGCCGGGTTTTCCTGTACTCGCATCCTCAATGATAGGCAATACGATAGCAGCTTCTCGCTTAGGTTTACCATTGTCGCCATTGAATTTGTATTTAATTTGCTTGGATTGCGAAGAGCTTGATAGTAATCGCGAGAGATGAGTCAGCGTTGTCGTTGATAACGGTGAGGAAATGAAGTCTGTCAAGGATAGTGGTTCGGATGAGGAGAATGATTGAACAGCTGCAGCAGTATTATTTCTTCTGCATTGTATGGTGGCAACCGAATGTCGAGACGGCCGATTTCGACAAGAGGTAAAAGATTGATGTAGGCGTATCAATTTAGCTGATTCCGGGAGTCTGGTGAATTTAGTGGCTATGTACATTGTCGGTGACGGTTACAAATGTAATTATGCATTGATTTTAGATAAAAGCTTCGAATTCTTGGACGCTCTAAATGGGTATAAGAAATTGCAATCTAATTTACATACGCCAAGAGAATTTTAATGTACGGTCGAGCAACAATTGTTCTGAGACCTTATCGTCCCCTCGACAGACAGAAAGTTACAATCAGCCTTTCCGGTTTCCTCGGCATTATCCATTTTTTTACTCCTAACTTCAGCTTATCTTCGTATCTATATCTCTACAGTGATAGATTTGTCAATCAACATGTAGCGGATGCTGCCGAATGCTAAAATTTCAAGAGGGAACGCGTTCCACCAATTAACGAAAATGGATAAGAAAAATGATTGAATGATGATCCAAAATGTAGACTACACAACAGGATATGTCGACAGTAGTAAAGACTCTATAGAATAATTGAAAGGCACTGGTGTACGATTTACTATTCCGCCGTATTGTGCGTAAATTAATTAATATCACGTGACTCAAGATGCCGCTCTCGGTGTTGCACAGAGTCAGTTCGGATAAAGAGAATGACCTCATCGTCATCAACAGGGTCAAAAGCGAGTTTAAGGCACATCCCCAACCGACGACAATGGTCAATTCAACGCAAAAGGGGTACATTCGACTGCCCGATGTCGAAAACGACTCAAGAGAAAGCTCACCAGAGTCAACTCCTCGAATCATCCACTCTATCCCTCGTTCTCCGCTGAAAGCAATCTCGGACTCGATCATCCCGCAAGATTCCAGGAATATGGATCCAATTCAATTCGAGTCAAACTTATCTCGTCAAGCCATCGCCGGAAAGTTATCGAATGGTCATATTGTATCGTTGATGGATGAAGAGAATCATCCGCATGATAATAACACTGTCGTCCCATCACCCGCAAATGACACCTTAATCATTATTGATACCCCGCAAG